CATACCTCAACACACCTTCTTTGCCTTTATTTGCCTTTTTATATTTCACGAAGGCAATGTCTAACATTCAAATCAGGGAATCCTTTTTTATGCAAGTTAATCACGAAACTAAATCTACCTTAGTATGACAGTACCGTATTTATTCACAAACAAGTATATGTTTGCTGCCTTTAGCAGAGTGATTTACTTATGGAGTGATTCAAATAATCTATTGAAAATAACATCATCAAAAGCAAACAAAAACAAACAACAAACTGTTTCTACACAAAAGTAAAGTAAATTAAAGTAATGTGTTCTCCATAAGAATAGCATTAGCAGCCATTTTACAGCTGATTTTTGTTTACTTCAATACTGATGATCGTGATTTATCACTAATCCAGTACGCAATATTATAATTTAGAGGATTGCGTATATAATTCAAATATAATCTTATTTGCCAGTATATTTGGCAATGTACTGTATACTGTATAAAACCAGAAATAATGTTATCTGCATAGACCCTTTTCGTTAGTCTAATAACATCCAAAGGCTCTCTAAGGGGGAGTTCAAGTTCTGATTTGTATACTTATCTATTTTGAGATAGACCTATTATGTTTTCACTAAGCTGAATGAATACATCGAAGTAACCTCTCTGAAAGGTACTAGGAAGCCTTATAAGTTAGCCTAACTTGAATGAAAGATATTTTTCCAAACTAAGAGGTCCAATTAATTTTTTTTAATAATGCAAAATAATACAACTTCCTTTACTGTAACAATTACGGTTCAAAAGTTATTGCAACTTTTGGGATTTTTTCTACAAAATTATTATAGTTACTCATCCCACCACTTACCCATGATAAAGGTTGTTTACAAGCTTATGGGAGAAAGTATGTGTCAGATTTGTGATACAATTTATTTAGTTTCTTTAGACTATTTAAAGATTTTTACACATTTTTTTAATTTTCTTCTATTTGCCGAAAGACATTTTGTTGGACAACTTCAGGTTCGTGTTCAGAACCTCCAAAAATATAAAGTAAGCCTTAAAAAACAATTACCTATGAACTTTCCACTTCAAGCCCTTTTAAAAACCCACTTGACTAGACTATAAGGCCGTTATTTTAAATACAAAATTAATGTAGGTTAGGATAAGGTTGCCGTCATAAATATCCTTATATATAATTCTGTAAGACAAAATTTTTACCCTAAAATTGTGAACGTCTGGTAAGTCGCAGAAACGTGGGAGAGGTCTTAAATTAAAGGTCTTGACCCCAAGGACTCAGGAAAAATAGCAGAATTTCCATAAAGTTACAAGAAAACGAGATGTAACGTTAAATGTTCTTTATAGTAACTAGCTGTTACCCACGGGCTTCGCCCCGTTTGAGTTCATAAGTTTAATAGCATTATTGATTGGTTAGGTTGGGCTGAAATAAACAAAACAGAATAAAGTAATACAAACAAATAAGTACAGCTGAGGTATTTTAACATTAGGTAAATGGAAAGTTTCCTTTAGAAAAGAATTACGACCTTAAAGGGCAATTTATGAAATAATGGATAGTTTTGCGCAAGGTTTCTCGTCATTACGAACATTTTAAGTATATGGTTTATGGGCATGGTGGAAGATGTTTGCGACTCGGTCCCTGCACTGAAGCTTTGCTTTGCAGGGACCTGATTTCAGATTATTTAATGTAAAAAGTATATGTAATGTTTATTTTTTCTAAATAAATGAATGAATTGAGTTGAATGAATTATATGTTTGCTGCCTTTATCAGAGTTAAACTTATGGAGTGATTCAAATTATTTATTGATAATAAATATATTTTCATGACTCACAACACCGTATAACATCAACAAAAGCAAACAAAGGCAAAACACCAAAATGTTTTTTTACACAAAAGATATGGTGTACGGGGATATCTATTCTGACACATTGATAACATATTTATGAGATTGTTTAAATATTAAAATAATTTGTCAATTATTCAGCTTTTTAGGGACTTATGTCCTTACAAGCCACTAGTGATATTTATTTAAGTAAATAAAATAGGTATGTTGAGCTTTAGCTTATGTTCTTTATTTTCACACCTATTAATAATTGCTGCGGCACACGTAATGCGCTAATATTTTGGAAATAATAAAAACTAACACTTTTAACTGAACTATAATTTTATTGATGTAAATATGAACAAATTGTATCAGTGGACTGTATAGTGAAACTACAATAAATGAATGTCTATATCGAAACTGATTTGGTTGTAAACTAAATGTGAATTTAAGAATATTAAGAAGCTGAAAGAAAGCAATGTTACTCGGCCGAACACGACAATCTCTAGGCTAGACCCTACTAATCATATTGACCACAGACCACCCTTAACCCACGGTCCTAGATAGCAATTCTAAAGACAAATAGAAAGGTAGTTTATGTGACTGTATTAGTTCTTTACGCAGAAGGACGGTCTCAACTGCTTTGTTAAGAAGCCGACTTGCCCTAGCAGAACGAATGAGTGGTTTATGCGATCGTAAACAACTCTAGATGTTTGACAATATTTGAAATTTAGAAACGTAACTATCTTCTAAAAACATAAATATAAAGACACACAACAAATGAATTAGATACACTCTCCCCAACAATGATTGTTTCAAGCAAAAATACTCATAAATAAAAAACAAATTTTTGAATGAATAGTATACAAGTATTTGCCAAAATCGTGTACGCCATCTTTAATTTTGGACTTCCGAGACTCCGATTTCTTTATACCGTTTCCCTAGTAAAACCACACAATTCTTAGTCAAAATAACCAATTAAACAATTTAAAGCAATTTTTTTAGGGTTGTCTTACGGATTTACTCGACTATATCCAAATCTTTGAATTATGTTTCAATTGTTTACTTATTAGTTCAGTATATTTTGAAAACACATAAATTGATGTTGCTGATAAATGCTGTGAATACAATTCAGTGACACAAGAACAAAAAATCTATGTAAATAATACCCCCGCCGCAGCAAGCCTGCAGTCTAAGCGAATTTCCATTTACCCGGTTCGTTCGATTTTTACTAAAATATTCCCACAAAATTGTCAGATTTATTTTCAATTTCTAAATACCATTAATTTTAGTGAGTACTTAGGTTTGCTGCTATGGGCAAGATATGAGGTGTGATTTTTATTGAAATGTTGATAACTATGTTGATAGCTTAGTATGAAATAAACAAAATTGCCAAATTTGATTAAAATATGTCCATAAACAACCAAACTACAACAGTTTATTTATCCTCCATAAGAATAACATGGGAATGTCAAATTTACAATTTTTAAAATTATCTCCAAACCGTTGGGCATACAACAACTCTTCAATATACGAGTACAAAATTATTTATTTTTTCAGCACTACAATATGGTTTGGAGAGAAATTAAAAAAAAATTGTGTTTTGGGGTCAAAAATAGGAAAAATCAATTTTCGCCCCATAAAACTGGTTAGCAAACTCGTTCGAATAAACGTAGGTTTACACGTTTGTGCCAAAATGTCATCAAAATCGGATCATTTTTGCTCTAGTTATCCTCAAAACGATAACGTAAATCGGTTCCGGGTCTAGTCTTACCATGTGTTACATGTGTCTTACCATGAGACCTAGGGTGAATTTTTGCTTAGTCCCTATATGGGAAATTCGCTAAAATTAGAGTTTTGTCTGTACACTGCTTAGAATCGTAAATGTTTCGGTTAGTTTCATCGTATGGAACGAGTATTACGATAGGAAAGCCATAACGCGTGCTATCTCAATTTCTGTATAAAAAGGATTAGGTGTAAGGTTATAATACCCCCGCCGCAGCAAACCTGCAGACTAAGCGAATTTCCAATTGACTGATTGGATTTACACTGAAATGTCTACTTAAAAATATAACATTTATTCTCTATTTAAATAGAATTAGTTTAACTAGTACTTAGGTTTGCTGCATCAGGGAGGGTAAAACTGTTTTTTTTTGTAAAACGTTAATAGTTAGTAAGAAATAAAAATATTTTCCAAATTTGATCAAAATATGTTCATAAACAAGCAAACTACAACAATTTACTTATTCTCCATAAGAATAACATGGGAATTTTAAATTTACAATTTTTTGGAATTTTCTTTGTAGCCATTAGGCGCATAATAACGCTTCAATATACTAAATTATTTGTTTTTTTAAGCTCTACAAAATGGTTTGGAAAGAAATTGCTAAATTTTATGTTTTTTGGGTCAAAAATGGGAAAAACCTATTTTTACCCCATAAAACCCCCCGTAAACCCTCGTTCCCATTGTCCGATCATGCTGGATCGCGAACTCGTTCGAATAAACGTAGGTTTACACGTTTGTACCAAATTTTATCAAAATCGGATCATTTTTGCTCGAGTTATCGTGCTAACGGACACACATATATATATATGGCCTAAGAGCCGAAACATGTAAGTTTATTCAATAAATTAATAACTTTAAAAAAAGGGTACTAAATGTTTAATTATTTATTTCATTTATTAATATATATATATATATGAATTTGAACCGATGGTGTTTTTGGCCTCTATAATTCCCTATATGGGAAATTCGCTAAAAAGTACAAACAAAGAAACAGCCAAGAATAAATTATTCACAAACACAATTGTAGCGTATTACAATGTAAATGATCACTGTTTTACAGGGTTTTGCCCGTGGTCTGTGTGTACTGTTATCCAAGTGACAGCCGGTCTATGTGTAAGATTCAAATGTATACTTCGGTCCGTGGCAATGACCGCGGCACGTGTTAAACGTGTCGACATTTTAGATGAGTACGGTAACGCCAAATCCTGAACATATAAATCAACAAATCCTAAATTAACACATAGACCTATTCACGTCTTAAATTTAAATTGAAGATTCCACAGCATTTTAGAGTTTAAAGATTTGTCTAACCCTTCTAAAATGTTAACATTAAAAATTTGGACGTCCACGGGGAGTAACCAGAGATGACTAGGTCTGCGTGTTAGGTACTGCAATTGGGTTATTAGAAATTATAGATAAAACATAGTCTCTTAGCTATTAACCTACAAAATCAGAGTAGGTAGTTTAGGTGTGGTTGAAAGAACTGGGCACTGGGAGGCAAAACGCGATAATTCCTCGGACGATTCGGTAACGGGGATATTCCCCGCGAGCCGGGTAGATGCAGGGAGACGTCCGCTCAATTACCCACCCGAACCAGTTTTGTCCGCCTCACGCACTGTCCGCCTCAAGCACGTCCGGGGGAAACACGGCACCAACTTCGACATCGTCCCCTGATAGACGGACAGCGAGACGGAGGGAGACAGCCAGTTGCGAGTTGAGTGAACAGTGAAGCGATTCATGATTATTATTTTGATAATATTTCAGTTTTCAGCCACGCCTTTTTATTGCAAATTACATTACAATTAAAAACTCATACGCAATAGTAAAATGAAGTCAAATCCCTTCCGACTTAGACGTTATTGAACTAATTTTTTTAAAATTAAATTGTAAGTTAAACTTAGGCGCTTTAAAATGGAAACAGATCAACTTGCTCCAAAATTTATTCACTTTTTGTTTTCATCCAAACCCAAATTCGACTGTTATTTTGCATTCGGGAAAGAAGGCCAGGAAAAACCAGTAAGTGTTCTTTACTTGATTTACCTATCTCGCTCCACCAGTACTTTTGGGGTTTTTTTCTCTTAGGAATTAGGCCCTAGGCCTAGGCCTAGAATCAGAATCAGAAATTATTGATTTGTCATTGGACGTTACAACAAATGTATTGACAATTGTCATAATGGCTTCAGTCAGGCTAGACTTTACAAATAACAAATAACATGTCCGATATGTTAATTTTTTAGGTGTCAGCTCTGTGGATTACCAACAGTAGGCCTAAGCCTATAGAATGTGATTTAACAATAAATACATTTTACAGAATAGTCCTAGACGTAACTTGTTAGCCTACAATAGGCCTAGTAGGCTCATTAAGACATTAGGCCAGGCGCACACAAGCGATTTTGGGTCTATCAACAGTTGCCAATTAATAGCGGGACTGTTGCGCAATTTACAGAGACTCTGACTGAAGTTATTTGTATAAGTATTTATTGTAAATGTTATTTATTGTAAGTGTTATTTATTGTTAATGTTATTCATTGTAAATGTTATTTATTCTTGTTGAATCATAGGCAGAATTCTTATTATCAAATGTATGTATTTTTATAAGGCCAGAGCGAATGCTATATTATTGTTATGAATATTGTTTCCATCTTGTTGTGTTGTATTAATGTAAAAATGGAGTTGTCCGTTGGTATGTAAAATAAAAAAAAAAAATAAAAAAAAATGAAGTCTTGCGACAGTTGCGCAGCAGTGTGCACACAGGCGACTGTTCAAGATGAATGAATGAATGAATAGTTTATTCCAAAAAACATTGGCTACAAACAGTGATTATAAAATCAAATATACTTAACAGAGACTTATGACACTAAAAATAGTAAAATACATACAAGTTTTAATGAGCCAAAATATTCAACAATAGACAAATGGAACTAGCAGACATAGGCAGTGCTACCTGTGCGTCTGCTAAGTTGCTGTCAAATAGAAAAAAGTAAATTATTGAATTTGTGGAATGGCAATTAAAAATAAAAGGGTTGTTATTATTAGTGATGTATGTAAACGTATTTTCATGAACACAGCGCTGGTGAGTCTGCGCATTAGATTTTGTGGTGGATGAAATTGGACAATACAGTATGGTAAATGACACAACAATAGTAACTTATATACTCTGTTATTTAGATTTCGCGCGGGAAGAAAGAAGAGGATTAAGTTAGAGGGTTGAAATCTTTTGTAACTCCCTCCTCCCACAACGTCTTCTTCAAATTGATACCAGAATAGTCTTTCAATTACTTTAAATAAAAAGGCAGCCTCTTGGCAAGTTTATAAACAAATTGTTAAACTTAAAGCAAATTTATAAAATATTTGAACTGGCAAACTATTTTCTATACAAGTTAAGAATTTATAGTTTGTTGTAGGCATAACTGTATTTATTAACATTCCAAATACCACATAAGCAGAAAGGCCTATCTTGCAAATTCCTGCACTGGACAGAACCACAGAGCATAGGATAAATATAGAGGCGACACTTGCCGTCTGGAGTGAAGAAGGCTTCTCGTACCAAGGTGGCGGCCGGCCCACCCTGTCTGCATTTATATTTAAACCATTATATTGTTACCATGGAAACCACCAATCAATACCTATTTACTTTTAAAACTCTCACCTCAGAACTTTGAAAGCCCGCGGGGCAGAGTCATAGGTCAATATCGAAGGGGGGAGTTCTATATGCAGGTACCCTCGGAGCAGTAGCTTCATCTAATTCATTAAGTAGTATAGAATAACACAGTGGTAATGACGCCTTGTTTTCAAAGTTCTGAGCCCGACTCTCTTACCAAGATGGCGGAAATGGGTTTTACTAACTGGTATAGCTGTAGTTATGGGAGTGGCGACTCTATATTTATTCTATGCTTTGTGGACAGAACTCACAATAAAATTGGCTTCAGCTGTTACATAAGGATGATAAATCTGTTGTAAGTGGGGGTATGTTTTATCTATACATAAAGAACCATTGACTTTTGGATACTAAAGACTGATTGTATCATTTGCAACCTATAATTCAAAAATTCAGTAAAAATAAGCATAAAATAGCACAAGGCCTATCAGGATTATTACATATTTTTTTTATTGTACAGTAGACTTTCTTTAGTTCGGCTTCAGTTGGATCGGCTGCCAGGTGGTCCGGCCCGGTCTCAGGGGGACACGTCATATCGTCACGGGCGAATGACCTTCAACAGGATTCAACTCAAATGTTTAGTTTAATAACAACGGCTATAGTTTTTTACCGGCTATAGAAGTAAACAATTCATGCAGTAGCAGTAGCTTGCAGTACTAGACCTTTTATTGTTCTGTTCTTTCCGTGATTAATTGCTGTACGAAGGCCTACACATTGTTGTGCAATTTTTGTTTTGCTTGAGTAAGATTGATTTTAAACGTTACAGTTTTTATTACTGAACCAAGGTTAATGACTAAGATATTATGATTGGGCAATACTATTATTTGTATTTGGATTACGTAAAATGCAAATTAATTATCATATTATCGTCCATTTTATACAGTTAGGTGTTTTATGGGTATGTAATGTATGCTTATGTCATGTTGGATTTACCGTGGTTTTCAGTTATCCGTGGTCTCCCCCCCCCCATTACCCCGGATAATTGAGGTTCTACTACGTCCGGTTAGTCCGGCCGTATTGTAGTCCCGAGGTAGCGGAACTAGAGGGAGTCTACTGTAATACAAGGGATACTATAGAACTTCTTTAATCTGTGGCAATACAGGTTAAAGACATGTAGAAATAACTAACATTAATTATGGTACCGGTACTGTAAATAAGTGAGAATGCAACAACTGAACGCTTTACTTTATTCTATAACACTTGCGGCAACAACCGTAATGCTTTCCCTGATCGCAGCAACATCCGCGATGATTTCTCGAGATTTTGGATATCTGTGCTGGTGCTCTTATATAAAAATCACCCCAAAACAAACCGTGATGATTCAAACCGTTTATTTGATATTTTCAATGCGACCATGTGAACCCCTATATTTTACACAACCGTGGCAATCGGGACAACGCCTTTGATGATTTCACACGATCGCGACAAAACCCACGATTGTCTCCAGCGATTCGTTTAAATCCTGTGACTATTTTTTGGGATCGTGGCTTAATTCGTGATGATTCTCCGTGATAGCGGAAACACCGTAATTGCAGTAATGTTTGTAAGTGTCTTACATGATAGCGGCAACATCCACCACTATCTCAATACTCGTGACAATCTTCGTAATAGTTTCCTACAATCTTAATTTTCAACTAGGTATGCAAAACGAAAGAGGCCATTCGGTAAGCGCCTAATTATTTTTTTAAGTAAAAAAAAAGTACTGTGCGATGGAGGCCACGGGCGCTCGCCCTGTCCGCCCATAAGTAAGTTCGACCCCAGTGCAGGTTGACCTCTCCCTCCCAACTTTTTTAAACTTTGCTTGATCTGTGAAATATAATCTCAATTAAGTGGGCCTAACTTAGTTGGTGTCGAACTAAGTTTATGTAAAAATGAAACAAATAGCCTAAGCTTAACACAGATTTTACCAAAAACATTTCCTGCCACAACAGAATTTGTCAGGATAGTTCTTTTCAAAGTTTCCGATTAGCGGAACTTCTTTGGTTGTTTTGCTAGAGAGCCTAAAAGGCTCATTAATGATGTTTCTGCAACAGTCTAGTCTAGGCACAGAGCTGGCACTCAGATGTGGTATAGCTTAAATCTCAGGTTTAAAGCTTATGCCAACCTGAGAAAAAGAAAATGACGTTAAAGTATGTTATAATCTGTTGACGATAAACAAGGCTCGAAGTTACTTGTTTTGACTATTTATTCTAATACGTAGGTATAATAGAAGTAATTTTGGTATGTATATTATAATTCGTCAAACTATAATTTTTTTAACCCTCAAGTCATTGAAACTGTTTAGGAACATATTAAACCATTGTTAAATTATTTACTCTCATAAATGTTAATCTTAAACAGTTTATTGTTAATTAATTGCACATTACCAATTTCCAATTTATCTCTTTAAGGAAAGGATTGGAGCTGTCAAGTTGATGTTGATGGCTCACAGCGAAGTTTTCAGACTGGAGTTAGAAGACAGTGGATTGGCAGAGAAGAAAGATGTTCCTGTCATAGACATCCATCCTGACACCTTCAAAGGAATGTTGAAGTGAGTTCATTGTGTTATTGATACAAGGGGATGGCTTGTTGACAAAGATTTTAATTTATTGTACACATAGTCAATTCTTGAAAAATATGACAGGACAGACAAAATAGTATATTACGTTACTAGTCCTGAAAATAAGTGTTTACCGGACGAGTGTGGTCGTTCCTGTGCGAGACGAAGTCGAGTACGGGATTACCATACGAGTCTGGTAAACACATTTTGGACGAGTTACGTACGATAGTTTACGCCATACAACTAAATCTCTACAAATCCTTATATACTACCACCAGGGGTGCCCATCCCCCTCAAAGCTCACGTCGCAGAATCCCCCCCAAATTTGTTGTTTAACCCATGCCGGAAGGTCTGGGGGCTAACCCATAGTTATGTTTATAATGCGGGGAGGGAAGGGGTGCCCCCGACACTTTAAATTTATGGGAATTTAAAAGCGTTTGAATCAAACTTTTGAACCAATTTAAATGCACAATTTTGCTTTAAAACTCTAGTAGCAAACTATTTGTTAGTTTAGTTTTAATTTAAATGAGCTGGATTTTTAACATGCACACAATTTGAACCAAAATTGGCCATGTAGTTTTTTTTTAATCCGATTTTCCATGAATTAATAGGTTTTAAAAGGGAAAATCACAAAAGCTGCAATAACTTTTGAACCATAATTTTTACGGCATAGAGGGTTTATAAAATTTTTGTCATAGTCAAAAAGTATAACATGTTAATTTTTTATCAAAATCGTTCGGGCCAATTCTGAGAAAATTTTATTCATCCATTATTTCATGGAATATCACTATTAAAAATCCAAAATGAAAAAAAAACATCTGGAGAGACCATGGATTGGTAGGTACCTAAAATACCAAATTTCATCAAAATCGGACTCGGACCACAGGCGTGGTCTGTAGCTCTGTACCATACATACACACATACAGACAGAGAAACACAACACTTCGAAACCACTTTTTTGGGATCAGTGTTTTTACATAAACAATTCTTTTACCATGTTAAATTGTAGGGGAGAAAGTACTTAAAGTTATGTCAAAAAGTTTGAGATATTTTCTAAATTGCCCTTTAATCCACTTCAGAGTTTGTTCCTTTTTAAATAAGTGTAAAATTTTCAGTCTCAAAAATATTACTAGGCCTAAACTTAATAATATATTTCGTGCCTAGGGCCAAAAATGAGGTTTTGCTGGTTCGAGATAGTTTTTAAGTTCGATACGAAATCGAGGACTTAAAACGATCGTGAACTGCAAAACCATTTCAGTCCGTGGTACGATATTATTCACCACACTATACCCTATTACCACTAATTCACCTCAATGATAATGCACAGCACACTGATATAGTCAACACAACTACAACTTTAAGGTCATGTGGATAAATAATTTGAGGAATCAGCAAAAATAATAATAAATAGTTGCTAGGCAGCGGTGACAATAAAACAACTCTATTGCAATGCTATGGATACTGATTGTGTATTTAATATGCATTCATGTTTAAAGAAAGTAAGCGGGCAGCTGATTTTGCGGCCCTAGGGATGTAAAAACCTGCTCGATCCCCGAATGACGATGACAGCTGGCATGGCCTGCAAAACGTAACTTTCAGCCACCAATTAATGTATCTCCCTATGTAAAACAGTTAAAAACATCATAGTGTGGTAAAATAGTATATTACGTTACTAGTCCTGAATCCCGTGCGATACGAAGTCGAGTAGTGGTTTTTTTATACGAGTCCGGCCAACACATTTTGGACGAGTGACGTACGATAGTTTACGCCATACTACTAAATCCGTTCAAATCCTTTTATATTTCCACCAACTAAAGGACTAAAAATCACTAGTCGTCATAACCTCTAAGAGAGGTTATGTTTTTGTTATAACCACTCATTGCTACCCAAATACAGTATAATCAGCTGATTGGTGTCCGGCAAAACTCATTACAGTACAGTAGTACTGTATGAAACCCCATTTGATTAAGCTGGCGACAAACAGCTGTTTTCTGGACTAAATCCTTGCATGGGAAGTTCGTCAAAATAGTGTAGTGTGGCGTAAAAAATAATTATATATCTATTCTAAGACTAGTAAAATTTGTTTGAAGCTCTTTCTAGATTCAATAAAAGACAATAACAAATACAATCTAATTAATCCAGAATCACGTGTTTCGATTCTTGAAGTTAACGTAAACACATAGCCTATCAAAAACCTTAATTAAATTGTCACAGTACTGTATGTCAATTTCTTCCAATGAATAAATGACCCAGGCATAATTATTTGGGAGAGCGAAAATATTATCACAAGCTTTCATGTTGTTGTTCATGTTGTAAAAATAAAAATAGCAAAATGATTAGCCTATCATTATCATAATACTGTTTTTTTATGAATGAAGTATTATTATAATAAACAAACCTAAAAACCATCAATAGGTCCTCAAGGCAATGAGACTATTTGAGAATGAGTTCATAATTAAAGGTAAAACAAACTCAAATTGCAGATACAATTTAATAAGCCAACCATAATCCTTTGACAGCAGTTGGCATGGAGTTGTTCTCACTGTCAAACATGATACGAGTCAGAAAGTAGAAATCCACAAAAAAGTATCTATATATTTTATAGCAATTATAAAATGATTTATTAATCAAGATAAAATGTCAAACGGGATTTTGATTGCATAATTACCCCAGTAATAAATTAAGGAGGTCGTAAAAATTATCTGATTAATCTTTTATGTGCTTTTAACCAACCACTGGCTTGAATCCCCCCCAAAATCATAAAATCCCCCCCAAATAAATTTCTGATGTCGCATTTTGCGACATCAAACCCCCCTGTGGGCACCCCTGACTACCACCAATTAAAGGACTAAAAATCACTAGTCATAACCTCTAAGCGAGGTTATGTTTTTGTCTACAACCACTCATTGCCAACAAAATACAGTATAATCAGCTGATTGGTGTCCGGTAAAACTCATTGCATAACAGTAGTACGCAATGAAACCCCATTTGATTAAGCTGGCGGCAAACAGCTGTTTTCTGGACTAAATACTTGCGTGGGAAGTTCGTTAAAACAGTGTAGTATGGCGTAAATAAATTTAAAATTACATTAATTTTTAACCTGGTTAACAGAGCCAGATTTAGCATTTTTGCGCCCCTACGCCCAAATAATTTTCGTACTTTCCTGTTAAAGGGAACATTCATTATTATCGATGATTTTTTCGATAAGGCCTATATCGATATTTTTGTTTACCGATCCATTACATATTGACAACTGATCTTGTTTAGGTTAAAATAGTCTATTATATGGATTAAGAATTGAAACTGTTCTAAGCTAACCTAACATAACCAACCAAACTTGCTGTACTATTTAAAAATTCCTTTTGATAACAGAAAAGGCAAGTTAAACATGGAATGTTACACGGCAAGTTTTTGAACAGTTTCATTTCATTATTGTTTGTTGATACTGAACAATATTTATCGTAGTTGTCAGCTGATATGTTTCAATTTGTTAATATCGATATATCGAGACAAAAATCATCGATAATAATGAATGTTCCCTTTAACAGGAAAGTACCTACCATAATTTTCCGCCCCCTAGTCTGGTCACAGTTCGGTACTTTCCTTCAAACCTTTATTAAAAACTATATCATGCCCATAGGCCAAAGTTAATTATTTGTGTATGGCTAAAATCTCGAGAACTGTTGGTCGGAGTTAAAAGTGACCATATACTAAATGAAAAATTATTAAATTTCCAACAAAAATGATTTTTACACTTTTATTTTATTTTCTATGGTAATCGATTTATAAGGCTTTAAAATAATGTGTTTTTTTCTCTAACTGTAGGGGTGCGAACAATGGTGCTTGAGCTTAAGTACAGACAGTTTGAGAAAAACGCCGTATTTTAGCGCCCTATAACTCGGTAACCATTAGGAATGAAATGAAAGTGTAAAGATAATTTTTGTTGGAAATTTAATAATCTTTCATTTAGTATAAGGTCACTTTTAGCTCAGACAAATTGTTTCCAAGATTTTAGCAAAAAAAATAAAATGGAGGCCCCTGTTTTCGCTGATTGGCACTAGAGCTCGCATCATATTTATGGGGACTTTTGGTATAATCTTCCCTAGGTATCTAGAATAAGTGTGCAAGGTTTAAAACTTTTGGATTTTTTTGGAGGTTGGGTCATTAATTTATATGTACTAGGTGAAACCCGTCGAAATCGACGGATACTTTCAAGGCTTACGCTAATTCATCTAACTGCAATAAATTGAGTGAAATTATACATATTTTGAGCATTTAGCATTGTTTAAAGGGTAATAAGTGTAAATAATTATAATGAACAATAATAATATATATGATAATATATAATAATATATATGATAATGAATAATGAAGTGACAATAATGATATTAATTGCGTTAGTTACCAAATATGGTTGATCATTCAACGAATAAGATATTTCCCATACTTTGGAAGAACCTTTAAATAGTATTAAAACCGTATTGGTGGATCTTTTTTATTAGTTAAAAACTTCCCCGATTTCATCAGTGTAATAAAGATTAATCTATGATTTTATTTGAGAGAAAATATCTGCTTATTGAGGAGACACATTCTAACTTGAAAGGGAGGTCCATCCGTCACAGTGTAAGTTTGATTTTTCCTTCGTCACGTCGCATCAGTTCATATCGTACTTCTGTGCCAATGAATTACCCTCTAGTATAGTTTTGAGAAATCGGTTGTGGGGTTAATGTTAAAGCTAAAAGACACTTCTGCACTTGTATTATTTTGTATTGTATTACACAATCGAAGATTTTTCCAATGATTGAAAACATGTATGACAATAATCTCACGAACCTCTGATGATCAGTCTAGAATAATTTAATAAAATATAGCCAAAAGTGGTGAAAAAGGCAGACACCAACCCGTACAACAGATATAAGATAGTTCAGTAAGAAATAATTATTGTTAAATAAGAGTTACTGTGATAAAAGGATTTTCCACTGATTTCGTAATGGAACGTTATATTGCAAAATATGACATGACAGAAGAAAATCAATTTTAAAATCAGAAAATAAAATTGCAAATACTTCTTTTGGACAATTCATTAACTCCCAATAAATGTGTGTTGTTTAAAATACAATTCAAAAATTAACAGCTGTTTCATTAAAAAGTATTATCCACATGGACAAAATGTAAACAAATCTGTGGAGGGATCTTTTGAGGGCTTCTGGGGCAGAGCCCTAACGGGATTCACTTAGTTTTTCTTTTGGTAACTCATCTAGAGACCAAGACCTTTCTTTGGACACCTCTACCAAGTTTCTACACCCAGTCGTTCTCTCAAATTAATGGAGACAAAGTTTCCAATTAAATATTTAGATCCCCCCATGTTAATCTTATGGGAGAAAATCCAACTTTGATGGAAGATCCTGCCCAAACTAATAAAGATTTCAAAAAACGAAAAAGACTTTGCAAAACTACAGATCAGGGCCATTCATTTGACACTTTAATCGTCAAAATCGGTCCAAAAATGAGGGAGGAGTTCTGTTTACAAAAATCGGCTTAGCGTATTATATAGATAGATTGACTGAACTATAAGTAACCAACAATGTTTTAAATCTTTTAATTTCCTATCGTTATTATGGACTAATACACTGCTATTTTTGTGAACTGCTAATATCAGAAGTAACACAATTTTAACCTGTTTCAGATATGTTTATGGCTATGACACTACTGCTACAATGGCTTTTGATGAGGCAGACGATTTACTGTATGTTGCGGAGAAGTATTTAATGAAACCTTTGAAAGACAGCCTCGCTGCTAGACTGATGACACTTTTGAACAAAGACAACATTTGTTCCTTGATGAACAACCCTGCCTGTTACACTCATCTGGAGTTGGACTCTGCCATTACCAAGGTTAGTTTGAGTGTTTTTGTACATAGAAACTAGCCTTGAAGTAGGTATACACCTGAAACAGAAAAACACGTGTCGCATTAGGCGCAACGGAGCTTTTTGTTCATTTGCAGGTTAAGGCAACTTCTCCCTTACCTTACCTTACCCTCTGGCGCTACCAGTACAGCCCACGATGAGCCTTGGCATCCATCACAATTTGTCTCCAATCTTCTCTATTTCTTGCTTTCTGTTTCCAATTCCCACTTTTCAGAATTCTCAAATCCTCCTCAACATCCTGCAGCCATCTTCCCCTTGGACGGCCTCTTTCTTGTTCCGTACATTTGACCTTCTATGCAACCTCCCCACATGTTGAGTTATCAACAGCGGCCCACATTTGATTACTTAAAAGTAGGAATATGTCGATTCTCGGACATTGGTGTTGGTAAACGGACATCGAGAACCTATCGTAAACTCAATTTCGATACCTCAGATGTCTGCAAAGATCAGTGACCGAAAAATCACACTTTTTCCGCAATTGTGGATGACGTTCTCATGGCCGCAGGAGACGATGATGATGTCTACTCGACCGCTGGAGATGTGCACGTTTTGCTGACGATGATGTTGTCGTGATCACATTATTACCTCGGTCTGACCAAAAATCTCAAACTGTCATTCCTCTCTTTATCCTAAAATTTCACTTTGATAATATTTTCCAAAATTTGATTTAATCTTTGATGAGGTAATATATATAGTGTGTTTAGAAGGGCTTCGTCCTACATGTGAATGGGTTAGTTATAATTTTCTATTGCTGCTTTACAAAACATTACTTTAAAACACCCCATCACTCCAAAATTACCGTGTGTAAGTAAATAAAGACAGGGGTTGATGTAGTATAACCAATCCATATTGACAGTTGGGTAAAATTTGAAAATAGTGGTATCGGAATCACAAATTGATAAATTTTGGCATTGATACATCACTATTTACAAGCTTATTTGTCACAATGTTCTATGCAATGAGACAAACAGGAAAACTCACGTTAAAACCAAACTAAAGTACATAACTGTCTAACCACTCGTTAATGCAGGAGGGATATCTCTTTCAGCCTTCTAATGCAGACCAGATCTGCCAACATTGGCACAGAAGTTTTTAATCAGAGCTAAAGCAGTTCATTTTATTTTATCAACCACTTAAAAAAATAGGAACAACAATGTGATATTGATCTTGTTCGTACAATGTCATAAATATAATTTTTTTAACTAATGTACTGTTTGTTCATTAACAGATTTTGAAATTCGAGACGGATCAAGTGTTAGCAAGCCCAGAGTTTTTGTCAATGAATTCTGACGGTTTCCTCAAGATTTTGGAACAGGATGAACTTGCAGTTCCTGAAATAGAATTGTGGAGAGCAGCAATTAAATGGGGAAAACACAGAGGTAAGAATTTAGATTTAAAACTTTTTTTGCACACCTAAGTTGAATTTGAGTGCAAGGTGAGTTTAGATTGGAGGAAGATGATCTGTGTAGCTTTGTTCAAACGATTTATCAAGAAGTGAATTTATTTCCATATCTTACTACTTTACAATTTTGGAGATTTGTACAGTACATAAAACAATGACCAAAGACCTTATGTTTGGTTTGCACATAAGCCAACTATTACTGTAAAAATATACAGTGTTTAAAGAAAAGATGGGAACATAATTAGCGTTGTGAATTCTTTGGTCAAAATAAACAAAAACCAAGAATAAAACTTTCCAAAATCGCTTTGGTAACGTGATATCTGTCTTTTTGTATTTTTTACATAAACATTTTAGCGAATTTCCCATATAGGGAATAAGCTATTACCGTAGTACTCATGGTAAAACCTGGACCCGGGACCGATTTAATTTTTCGTTTGAGGTCTCTAGAAGCCAAAAACACCATCCGTTCAAATTTATATATATATATATTTGTGTGTGTGTGTGTCTGTTAGCACGATAACACGAGCAAAAATGATCGGATTTTGATGAAACTTGGTATAAACCCACATTTATTTGAACGAGTCCCACGTTTTTCGTTTTAAATCTTACAAGTATTTATTCTTTCAACATATTTATAAATTACTAGCTGGCCCGACAGACGTCGTCCTGTCCTAATGTGGTTTTATGTTAAATGCTCCTTCATTTTCAAGATGAGCTCGTTCGCATGGCTCAATCACATCCTGGTTGAAGCTCGTTCGCTGTGCTCACTTGCCTTCAGGTTAGCTCGTTCGCTACGCTAACTCGCCTCCAGAATGCTATTGAACATCACAGAATCAAATTGTTTAGTTGAACCAGCTTAGAATTAAGATTATTTAATTCTATTTAAATATGAGTACTCATAAGGTTAACATGGGAAACTCCAGAGCCACTGGGGCGGAGCCCTTTTGATGGATCTGCACCAAACTTCACACAAACCATCCTTGAATAATGCTTAATAATGCTTGAGTTTCATTACAATCTGTCGAGCGGTTTCGGAGTCCATAAATGACAAACAAACAAACATACATACATTGGATTTTATATAGATTTTATATATATAGATTTTATACTTGTTTAAAAACTTAGCATTTTTTTAAAGTATTTTTATTTATAAATTATTTTCTAATTTTTAGTCTTTAATGTGTAAATATGTTAAATCTATTTTATATGGCCTGTTAATACATAACCAAAACATTATTATCTGTAATCAGATGTTTTCTTTACTTTGAAATGCTTGAAATATGAAAATTAAATTATATAATATTGCATTGTCTTGTGAGCTATGTTTCAAGTTTCAAGTCTCTAGCTCATCGGGAAGTTAGTATAAAATCGATTGCAAAAATTTGTACCGGACAAGAAAGCGAGTTAATAAAAATGTTTTAAAATAATGTTTGTTTTACCTTACCACAGATGATTTTGGGTGATATCTGGTTTCCATGGCAACACAATCTTGTTTGTTATTCGCAAAAATAAATGAGTAAGATTGCAAAACAAGAAGCGAGATATCTATAAACTTAATAAAAGTAAGAAGAAACAAAAAGGGGGAAAATGATAATAATTATAATAACTAAACTAGTGGCGCTGTGTAGCCGTGACACAAGCGGCAGTCGTAAGTCAGCCGTCGGGACTGCAGCGGCCGTATAAGTAACGCTTGTAAGTTGATGCCAATAGGTTAATATCATCTGGTTTTTCTCATGTAAGAAATGTACAAGTCTATCAATTTTTGGAGCCAAGTAGTTAATGTTTTGGTGCGCTATTGTGATTTTACATTGATTTCTTTGTATATAATGGGGCTTTGTGTTTTGGTTGGTGTCATTCAGGGGGGAAGTTGATTCTATGATTTATGGTCTGTTTGTTTGTTCCCACCTACAAAATGGTTTAGGGTCTTGTTTGAATCTTGCACCGTTACCTGGTTACGTTGTTGACATTCAATTGCTGCCAAAGTGTGTTCTATTTGTTCTTGTGGGGTCTTCAGCTTAGTTAGCTCAAGTAGCAGGGACAATGAGCTGTTTTGTCTAAGGATGTCAGAACTGAGGTTTTCAGATTCTAAGTTTTTAAACTTTAAGATGATTTGTGCTTGGTAAATTTTCTGTACCTAATTGTATTTTCTGTTTGGTTCTTGATTGTTTTTTGAAGGCTTTTGACTTCCTTTCTCGATTAAAAATTACTTGATCTTTATCCTTGTATTGATCTTGAACATTATTTTTAGTTCAGCTCTGAATTAATTGTCTCTCTTTGATTGGCTGTTTTTCAGCTTCATTTAAGGTTTCTGATATTGACGTTATTCAATCTAAATACTTTTAATATGCATGAAATCATTAGGATAAGCTTACGTCATTGCTCTCTTAAGCAGTTCAATATATTACCGTAAATAGTGGAATAGGATTGGTCGTATTGTTTTAGACTGATTTTATTAAATTCTATATAATTGTGAAAAGAATAAATATAACAAGAACTTGATTGGTTTTCTTGTAACTTATAACCATCATATTTTAATCTGGAAAATGTTTTCCTCAGCTGAGTCGGAAGATGGACAGCTGGTCCGCCAACAACTCTCAGGGTTGACTCAACAGTTGAGACCTTACTCACTGACCCTGGAAGACAAATTGGAAGTGATTGGTTCTGGGATTTTAGGCATAGAAGAAGCCATCAATTTGTGTAATTGTAAAAAGGAAACCCTTCTAACTCTTAGTCAGTTTTCAAATGAGACTAAACCAAGGACAATGATAAAAACAAAGACTGTCCTTGATCAACTAGAAATTATTATGCCAGAAAGGAGATGGGAATACGGTTGGATTTACAACTTTACCCTGACTACCAAAGGGCATGCTATTGAGGTGTTACCACTAGAGTGTGAATCATGGGATCCTACACCAGGAGTCCCTGAGACATATGAAGTGAGCTGTTCAGCAACAATAATAACTGAGTGGACCAACTTGGATGTGCATGAACCTGCGATAAACTTGCATTTCAGTAAGCATGTCAAGTATGGAAAGAAGTTTGTGATTCCTCTGGCTGTTGATGGGAGAAACATAACCTTGAAGCCAAACACCCAGTACTCTGTCAATATGGAGGTGAAAGGGAATCACAAGATGAGGTACAGTAGACAAGAGCCCAACATCGAAAATAATCACTTGGTTCTAAGTATATCCAAGAAAGGCATTTACTGCTACCGCTTTCCCTCAGACAAGTTGATGTACAGAGCAACAACAGTGGAATAATGCCATTCTAGAATAGGCCGGTTAAGGATTTGGGATTTAAATTCTATTGAAGTGTGTGTACAGAAAATGCAAATATTTTTATAGTGTTTTATGATTTTCACTTAACTCTGACCATTTAGGAATAATATGCATTTTGTAAAATTCTTCTCATCCAAATTTAAATATGTGATGTGGAAAACTAAAAGGGACCTCTTGTCAGAGATGTAAAATTTTCAGTACGGCCGATATAAGTAATTAGGGTCAAAAATATCAAATTTCGGGTTTTCATCGATTGTTATACCTCATTTAACATGACAGTATCGGTTAAAATCTCAAACATGACAGTATCGGTTAAAATCTCAAATTGAAGATGCAAAGGTCTAAATAAATCATTTTGTTAGCCTTTGCATGGTCTGAGTAAAGGTACCTCTTGTCGCTCAATGTTATTTCGCCATAACGACAAGAGGTCCCATTTCTAATATTCCCTTTTTAAACAGATTTTAGTCCAAAAAATGAATTGTCCTGCATTCTAGTGGAAATTTAGAGAACTACAACGAAGTTCAGTTCACGACGAACAAAATATCTCACAAATTTTGCGGTCCCGACAAGAGACCTTTTCTTATCTTATGGCGAAATAACATATGGCCGACAAGAGGTACCTTTTCTGAAAGCGATTTTTACGATATGCTTCAATAAAACAATTATTAAAATGAAAACTATTGTGAGTTAAGAAATAAATTTGCATTTCTTTCAAAGAGGACATTATAAGCTTTCTTTTGATACCTTACTCTAAGCTTACTCTTAAATACAAAAAACACCGTTTTTATGCGTATTTGAAATTTTCAAAACAGTTTTTCTCAAAATGACCCTTTTCCATAGCAAAATTTCAAAGTCCTATAACTTTACATGCGTGGGACTTGCACCAATCGATTCAGAATTTAATAAGAATTCAAATATATATAACTCAAAATTGAAAATTCCCGACAAGAGGTCCCTATTCGCTTTCCACATCACATATATCGAAATTAAGTTAAAAATATGTTTGTTTATGAGCATTCAGTTTGTTTAGTAAAGGGCAAAAATGCAATTTCCAACAATTTTTTAAGTTTTATCCATGCTGCTGTAGAAGTGGAATGCAAAGAGTCTTGTCTTTAAGTTAATTTAAATAAACTAGTGTCCCTGTTGCTCGAATTCGAGCAATTGCTAAGTATTACAGGTGTTATTTTAAAACGAGTTTCAACCAAGTCAGCAAGTTTGTAGCAAACTGTTAAATTAGTAAACTTATTGACTGTTTACAATTAACATTATGCTCTTCTTCTTACTTGTGATTTGTGACAACAGCTGGAGTTTCATAACAATTTTTGTTTCCAATGTTAATCTTATGGAGAAATACGAAACTTTAAAGGGCTCCAGGGCCTCACTCTCTCATTATTTCCCTAAAAAGAAAGTTTCCTGCACAACTTCACGTTATGCTCTTTCCAATGACACCAAAAACATGACAATCGGTTCAGTAGTTTCGGAGGAGTAATTGTCACAAAAAATCTGCTTGCGTATTAAATAAGTATAGATTCTTGTTATTTGTCATGTGTGAATGTATATGTGTACCCTAAAATAACACATTTAAAAAAAAAAAGATCAAAAACTTTAACTAAGAATTGATTATTTTAACCTGTTTCAGCCTCGAAGAATCGTTATAACAAAATTCAATATGTGATTTAATGTAACGTATGTTGGATTT